CTTATTATTCCACATTATAATGAAAGCACCACTACTGCCCCTAGGACGTACTCCAGTCACACTGACTGTAGAGGAACTTCGTAAATTTTGTGTCTTGTTTATTTATTCCACTGCACATACCATCAGTTTTACAACATCCGTTACAATGTCTATGGAATGTTGTCTACATAAGAATCCAGAATGTTTGGACACGTGGAGTATATTTAGGTTTTTCGAACATATTTGGGACCATTTAGTGGCTGAACCCTTAAGATTTACTAATTGAGAAGTAGAGATTGGCATGCATTCTTAAAAGTGAGGTATGAGATGTGTCATGCATGCATGTGTTTTTCAATGATAAATATGAATAAGAAGGGTGCAGAAAATATATCCTCATATAGAGTGGAAGCATATCATCGTAAGGTGACAAGTTTACACATGGTTGACTGGTGGATATGCAAATTAAGGAATCATTGATAGAACACGCCTAGGAAACAATCATGGTAACAATGAAAATGATATTTTTTTTATTTTTATCTTTTATTGAAAGTGATACGCTAGGTTAAAGTAAGATGAAAGAATATTTAAGGTCAAAGCGTAATGAGTTAAATAAAAATATTCTTGATAAAAGAATATTTGAGGTCAAAGCGTAATGAGTTAAATAGAAATATTCTTGACATAAAAGTAACAGGTATGTATTTTTATTTGAACTAACATTCCAAAAGACAAGAACTTTATTTGAACTAACATTCCGAAAGCCAAGAACCAGACATTTTCGTAGGACCGGAATAGCAGAAGCACTATGAAATTGCTTCTTCGTATACTTACCTAAACTCTGCTTGCTGACTAATTGAAGCTTTAGATTGTCAGGATAGAGTCTTCAATAATTGAAAGTTTGGGTTCATGTGAAGTGGGAGTAGCTGGCATAAATGGGTTCCTTATCCTTAAAGCGTTTTAGTCTCACTTTATTTCAACTCAATTCTAAGGTCATCTTCAATTGATCCGGTCAGAGGGTTATAAGGTCGAAAATAGTCCTAAATGACACAAAAACCGTCTCAAACCGAAAACTAGGCCAAATGGCTCGTGGGTCCCATTGGGCCACAAAATGAGAATCGCGCCAACTGGCTGGCCCAACCCAACCAGCCCCAGCTGGTCCAACAATTTGAATCCCAATGGCTACTTGCTGACATCAGCTAGCTGTTACATTTGAATTTTTTTTTTTTACAAAATATTTTAATTTTTTTTACAAACTCTGTTATCCCCCCCCCTTCCCCCAAAAAATAACTACCTAAGCCATTAAACAACATTAAACATTAAGTAACATTACAAGATCATGTTGTAGGTACTTGTTTGTGGCACATGAAATCTGAGACGTTACTCACAGATCGACAGTGGCATTCGAAATTCAAGACGTAAAATTATTGAGATTCCTTATCGACAAGAAATCTGTAAAGTTACTCACAAATTGACACGTGGCACTCAAAATCCGAGACGTAAAATTATTGAGATTCCAACTCGAAAAATTCTTGACATTCCATCTCGCAAAATTATTGAGGTAGTTTAATTTAAGTAGCCATATTAATTCAATTAAAATAATAAATTATGCTTGGCCTTATGGCCCTTTGACCTCTTCAGTTGGAGATGATTTTTTGTTACAGGGTTATGTTTGGTTTATGACCTTCTGGCCCCTCAATCGGAGATGGTAAGAAATATGGTCTGACACTATTCATTAAAATATTAATTTCTTGAGGGCTATGGGGCTAAAATGAGCCCTCTTGCCCTCATTCGGTTAGAGATGGCCTGAGGTTCAATAAAGTATGGGGGGAAGACACACTACTTTATTCCAAAGTCAAGACATAACACAAGCTTCTTTGAGGGTTTACAAAAGAGGTCTTAGCACTTTTTAAAGATTTTTTACATCACCCACTAAGAGAGATTGCCAGCAGTGAAACTCAAACCTAAACCTTGGTGTAGCAAAAAGAACAATCCTTACCAATTCAATCAACTCTCGTTGGCATTTCAACTTAATTTTTGAAAGGGCTACGAAATGCCTACCATGTATATAACTTTGCATATATTAAAAATTTACGAATACAGATTCACTCCAGCCAATACGGCTATGCCCACATCATCTATTATATTCCATTGGCGTTATATTTAGTGGGATGAGTAGATGAATGAACAAACTTCTTTGATTAAAATGACATTATATTTGTTGAGAATGAATCACACTATTGGGAAAAAGGGGATATGCATGGGCTTATAAGGAGTTGGGCTACTCATTATACTGCCAATTAGTTTTGTGGTGGAACCTCAACTTTCTTGGTATCAGGGTAGGTTATCCCACTTGTGAAGTTCAACAGTCACACGTGCTCCACATCATACTATTTGTGTTGTCCGTCGGTGTGCAAACAAGGTAACACTCTGCTTACAGGTTCAACGAACTTGGATGCTAGGGTTGAATCCTCAATTTTCTATAAATAGTTAAGACCATCCACTTTATTCTAGTAAACAAAAGCTCTCACCACACTCTAATTATTTCCTATAGTCTTTCTCACTTACGCATTAGAGACCCTTTGGTGAACATTACACAGTAGTAGTCTAATTCCATGTGTCTCTTTTCTTTATGTGTGTAGATTTTCGTCAATTCGATCCATGATAGAAATTTGCTCCTGCAAATTTCACATTGATGGGAAGAGGACCTTGCTTGGGCATATACGTAATATGCCAAATGATTTTATTATGAAACTTAAACTTTCTTCAATATTTTGTCTGATTTCTTCAATTTATTCCAATCCTTTAACTTCGCCAATACTGTTTGCTTGTTGAATTGGGGATGAATTGTTAATTTATTGTTAGTAATAGATCCATGATATGATTTATTTCTCGATTTTCCTTCTGGACTTGTAAGGAGCTGCCAATTTTGCCTTTGAACTTTAATTTTAGCCAATTACCCTCTGAACGTTTATAATTGGCCAAATTCTCCCTTGAATTTTAGTTTAGCTGATCACCCCCTAAACTTTTATAATTGGTCAATTTCCTCTTGGGGTTGGATTTTGGAATTTTTCATTCAATTTTGCATTCATCTTGGTCACATGCACGACACATGACAATTGTTTGAGAGCAAGGTAATTTTATCCCTAATGTGGACAACACACTTTTTTTTTCTTCTTCTTCTCTTCCGATAGTTCACGTCGTACAATTTTTGTTTTAATTTTATCCCTAATGCGGACAACTATGAATCTTCTCCAAGGTCTTGCTTTTTCAACAATATCTTGGGTTATGATGCCATTTCATTAGCCTTCTTTATGACATGATTCACATTATCGTCTCAGTTCACCTATTCCAATTCAAGACCCAAATTCAAATAAGAAAAGTAATAACTCTCAACAAATTCGTTACTAGAAACTGGGCAATTATGGAGGTAATTGGCTAAATTTAAAATTTCCCGCCCCCAAGTTCAGGAGGAAATTGGTATCTCTTACAAATTCAGTGGAAAATCGGCGAATACCTCTTTAATCGATACTACTATGATGACGTGGAAAAACTAATATCAATTATATTAGTCTAATAATTTATTTTAAATGCAGATAAATGCACTGATGCTAAATGTCAAGAGTCAGGATAATAGAGTCGTCTAAAAAAATACATATGATATTATTTACACTACACTGTAGGTGTGGGAGAGTGGGTCTATCATAATAATTTGATTCAAATTCGTCTTCGGTGAGAATCGAACATAAGAACTCTTATTTATAAGTGAAAAAAAATATTACTATACCATAATATTAAGTGACAAAATAGAAAGAACGTTAGCAAGATCTTAAAATTGGGATTAGCCCGTAACCGACAAAACTAAACTACCCAACGATAGTCAAGTTTGGTTTACTTTCACCCATTACTTTAGTTAAAATCAGAACAAACTGATGTTATATAATAATTGGTTTGGGTGTGAAACCAAAATGGTTATCACCTTATTTTTGTGCGTTTATAAAGTTTGGCTTTTGGTTTTTAGTTTCCAATAATAGTTATCAAATAAATTTTTATTTTCTATTAAAATGATTGTCAAACGGGCTCAAGACATTTTATCAGTTATTAAAAAAAAAAAAATTCATGAATCTTGAATCTCTCCATATAAATATGTATATTTTTCACATTTTACTATATGTAGACTATTGTAATATTTAACGACTTAAGACATGACATGCCAGTTATATCCCAAGTGTCATGACTCCCATGATTGACGATTTTTGGCCGCAACAATCACTACCTATTCCAACGTCTCCAAAGTGATATTGATACGTACGTATCTGTTTTCTTGTCGATCTATTCTTTTCATCTATTTGATATTAATGGGATTCATTCCCCACTTTCCAATACAAATCACGATCGCCTTCAACCCATTTAATATGGTCTGGACAGGACAAGAGCACATGATAAAAAGAGCGATGGCTAAAACTCAAAGCCCACAAAACCAAATTGCCAAGTGAGTCCCCCTGCTCCGCCTCTTGATTATTATTGTCGGTGATGATAATATGATTAAACAATGGATTATTACTAATTAGAGTTGGTAAAATAAAGGGTTATTCAAAGTTTTGAAATTTGCTTTCTGCAAATGTTTTTCACGAGTTTAATGATTAGTGAAAAAAAAAAGAATAGAGATACAAAGGTGTCCTCCTGTAATTGTTTTTACATTGTAGGTGTACGTAAACAATATAAGACCGAATAAAATGTAGAAAGTAAAAACTGAAAGTCTGTGAAATTTGTTTTTCTGCGAATGTTTTTTACCAGATCAATGATGATTAGCAAGAAAAGGAAAAAAGAGAGAAAAAGGTGGAACATTGTTCTTGTTCATACATTCGGGTGTGGCTACAATGTCCCGTGACCTTAGTGCACTGGAATACGTAATGAAGATATATGATCTGTTTTTGTTTTTTTAAATTTGACCCGTTCTTGTACGTAAACATATGAAACTGCAAAAAAATATACACCAAAGACAAATTAAAAGAAAAATTAAAAACCTGGGGTTTGTGCAGTCAAGTTGGACTAAATAAAGAATGAATGTTTGGCTGAATTGTGTAAACATGTTTGCTAAGTAGCTTGTTTTTATATAATAAATAGAAATGCGAGAAGCAAAATTGTAGACGAGAAGTGTATAATAACAAGGAAATGCCTGAGGCGTCCATAATAAATAAGTAGTCTATTAGTTTGCCGATAATACAGACTGTCCATGCAATCAAACAAACAAATGAAACAAGATGCTGATGTGAGATCTACCATTTCTGCAGATTCACTGTTTTATTACTTTCTCTTTTCTGACAAGACGTTATACTACTTTATTTGTCTGGAGAAGGTGCAAGGGGCGGAAGTTAAGTGGGGTACTTCTTTCTATGAAGATGTGTATTGATATTTGAGCTCATCTCTCATACATAGTTTGGGGTGCTGCCGCAAAGACGTTGCACAAGTATGGCTTCCTTCAGGAGCTCAATTGGTAAGTACACAATATAATTTTCTCTATGAACATGGTATGTTTTTCAGTGAATTCGATTGATAAATTTGCTGCTGTTGTAGTGAAGTAGAATTCAATAGTGTGGTATTCAATGATCTTCATTAGTATAGCTTTTTACGTCTTCAACTCTTCGCCTTCTTTCTGTTTGATCATTTCTCTATGTCAATGTATAATTGCACTCCATGCACTTTTTCATTTTGCTTGTGTTTTCCAACTTTTCCCAGTGCTTAACATGCAGTTTTGTGATGATTTGTGATTGGTTTTCGGATATCCAGGGAGTAGTTTTTCACGGATTTGTGGTGGTGAACTTGAACTGGGTTCTTACTGCACTCAAAGAACTATTATCAATGGCATAAATCTGGTCTTCCTCTGTGTTTTTCTCTTATTTACCCTTATAAGCACCATACGGAAGCATTATATTACTGTTCCAGCCAGAAGGGACCAGTTCTCTCTAGCTATTTCAATTTGCTGTGCTCTTACTAGCATTGCATATTTTGCTGCTGGTTTATGGGATCTAATATCCGAAAGTGATGATCAATCGGAACATTTTGTCCGGTTGAATTACTTTGCCAAAGGACTAATTTGGATTTCTTTCACTGCTTCATTGCTAGTGCAAAGTTCCAAATGGATCAAAATCTTGAACTCTGTTTGGTGGTTCTCCTCATTTTCATTGGCCTCGGCTCTAAACATCGAAATACTTGTAAGAACTCATAGCATTCAGATGTTTGATGCAATGACATGGCCAGTGAGCTTCTTACTTCTGTTGTGTGCTGTTCGAAACCTCAGTCACTGTGTTCATCAGCATGCCCAAGATAACAGCCTATCTGAACCTCTATTGAGCAAAAAATCGACAAGAAAGAGCCAGAAATCAGAACTAGATCGGGCTAGCTTCCAAAGCAAACTGACATTTGCTTGGATTAACCCTTTACTCAACTTGGGTTCCTCGAAAACATTAGCTCTCGAAGACATCCCTTCTCTTGTTTCTGAAGACGAAGCAGATTTAGCGTACCTAAAGTTTGCCAATGCATGGGATTCACTCTTAAGGGAGAAGAGCTCAAGCAGCACCAGGAACCTGGTTCTACAGACGGTAGTGAAAGTTTACATGAAAGAAAATATGTGGATAGCATTTTGTGCATTTATCAGGACAATTGCAATTGTAATTTCTCCTCTTATATTGTATGCTTTTGTAAATTACTCGAATAATGAAAATGCAACTCTCTCTGAAGGCTTCACTATAGTGGGGTGTCTAGTTCTTTCCAAAGTGGTTGAATCTTTAAGCCAGAGACATTGGTTTTTCGACGCAAGGAGGTCTGGAATGAGGATGAGGTCAGCCTTGATGGTGGCAGTTTATAAAAAGCAGCTCAAGCTTTCTAGCTTGGGAAGGAGAAGGCACTCAGCTGGTGAGATTGTAAATTATATAGCAGTTGATGCCTATCGAATGGGCGAGTTCCCATGGTGGCTACATTCGACATGGACATATGCGTTGCAACTATTCCTTGCCATTGGAGTTCTTTTCTGGGTGGTGGGTCTTGGTGCTCTTCCTGGTTTGCTTCCTCTAGTCATTTGTGGTCTCTTGAATGTGCCATTTGCAAAGACACTTCAAAAGTGTCAGTCCCAATTCATGATCGCTCAAGATGAGCGACTCAGAGCCACTTCTGAGATCCTGAACAGTATGAAAATCATCAAGTTACAGTCTTGGGAAGAGAAATTTAAAAACATTGTCGATTCCCTTCGTGAACGTGAATTCAAATGGTTGTCTGACTCGCAATTTAGAAGGGCTTATGGAACTTTGCTGTATTGGATGTCACCCACCATCATCTCTTCAGTTGTCTTTCTCGGATGTATCATTTTCAAAAGTGTCCCTCTTAATGCAAGTACCATATTCACGGTTCTAGCTTCACTAAGGAGCATGGGGGAACCTGTAAGAATGATACCAGAGGCTCTTTCAGTGCTAATCCAAGTCAAGGTTTCATTTGACAGGCTCAATGTGTTTTTGCTTGATGACGAGCTGAAAAATGATGAAGTAAGGAAGTTGCCCTCAATGAATTCCGATAAGAGCTTAAGAATAGAAAGAGGTAATTTCAGCTGGTATCCTGATCAATCAACAGATCCAACTCTTAGAGATGTGAATTTAGAAGTGCAAAGGGAGCAGAAAGTTGCAGTTTGTGGACCAGTTGGAGCAGGAAAATCATCACTACTATACGCTATACTTGGAGAGATGCCGAAAATTTCAGGAACTGTGAGTTGAAAACATATGAAAACTTCAATATACTCGATGCACTAAGTTTTTTATTTTAACTTTATTAATGCTTGCAAGCAGGTTGATGTATTTGGAACCATAGCCTATGTTTCTCAAACTTCTTGGATACAAAGTGGGACAGTCCGTGATAACATACTCTACGGCATGCCAATGGACAAGAACAAATATGAGAATGCCATAAAAGCTTGTGCTTTGGATAAGGACATCAATAGTTTTGACCACGGTGATCTTACTGAAATAGGCCAGAGGGGGATTAACATGAGTGGAGGGCAGAAGCAGCGGATTCAACTGGCCCGAGCTGTCTATAGTGATGCTGATATTTATCTCCTTGATGATCCCTTCAGTGCAGTGGATGCCCATACTGGTGCAACTCTATTTCATGTAAGAAAGACAAAGATCAAGCGTTTTAAGAAGCATGAAAATCACATTTATCGTCGTAATCTCATAGAAACAGTTTACTCAATTTGAATGACTTGTGCAGGAATGCGTCATGGCCACTCTAGCAAAGAAAATTGTAATTCTGGTGACTCATCAAGTTGAATTCATCTCAGAAGTTGATAAAATTCTAGTACGTTGTTGTTAACTCATTTTTGCAGTTTATTTGCAATAAATATTCAAATTGGTTTGCTCATGAAACCTTATTTCATTTGCAGGTAATGGAGGGTGGACAAGTTACTCAATCTGGAAGCTATGAGAATCTCTTGATGGCAGGAACAGCATTTGAGCAACTTGTAAATGCTCATAGAGATACAGTAACAACATTGGGTCCTTCGAATAATCAAAGCCAAGAAGAATCTGAAAAGGGAGATATAGTTATGCCGGAGGAACTTCAGACAGCTTACCTCACTACAAATAACAGTGAAGGGGATATTTCTGTGAAGGGTGTGCCTGGCGTGCAACTAACAGAAGAAGAAGAGAGAGGGATTGGTGATGTTGGACTGAAACCCATTCGGGATTATTTTCTTGTGTCCAAAGGAACTCTTCTTGTAATCTTTGGCATAATGACACAATCTGGTTTTGTTGGTCTTCAGGCTATTTCAACTTATTGGCTAGCTCTAGGCATTCAAATGCCTAACGTAACCAATGGCATGCTCATCAGCGTTTATACAGCAATTTCAACACTTAGTGCTGTCTTTGTATATCTAAGGTCATTTTCAGCAGCTTATATGGGATTGAAAGCTTCTAAAGCCTTTTTCTCTGGTTTCACCGACGCTATTTTTAAGGCTCCTATGCTCTTCTTTGACTCAACCCCTGTTGGCCGGATTTTGATACGAGTAAGTAGACAAAATGCTACTTTATGCACTCTGGTAATTGTATTCCAATCACTTGTTATCAAAACCATTTTATATTTATACTTTTGCAGGCCTCATCTGATTTAAGTATTTTGGATTTTGATGTACCTTTCTCCATCATCTTCATAATGTCTGCTGGCCTTGAACTCCTGGCAACGATTGGAATTATGGCTTCTGTCACATGGCAAGTTCTCATTGTAGGCATTCTCGCCATGGTTGCCGCAAAATATGTTCAGGGGTATTATCTAGCCACTGCAAGGGAACTAATAAGAATCAATGGAACAACCAAAGCTCCGGTTATGAACTATGCATCGGAGACAGCACTTGGAGTGGTTACTATAAGAGCTTTTAAAATGGTTGACAGATTCTTCCACAACTACTTGAAGCTAGTTGACACAGATGCCCGACTGTTCTTTCATTCTAACGCAACCATGGAGTGGTTAATTTTAAGGACAGAAGTACTTCAAAATTTGACCCTTTTTGTGGCTGCTTTCTTACTTATCTTACTTCCCAAGGGTTATGTTGCTCCAGGTACTTATTAAGAGCAATCCATGTGTTGAATTTCAGGTGTTTATAGGTGTTTAACTTGAAAAAAAAAATTTACTTGATGTCTGCAGGGCTTATTGGCCTTTCGCTGTCATATGCTTTAACGCTAACGGGGACACAAATTTTTGTGACACGATGGTATTGCAACTTATGCAACTACATTATCTCAGTTGAAAGGATAAAACAATTCATGATGATTCCGCCAGAGCCTCCTGCAATTGTGGAGGACAAGAGGCCGCCATCTTCATGGCCTAACAAGGGTAGAATAGAGCTCTATTCTCTGAAGGTAATATACTATTGTTGTTCTTTAACTACCTTATCATTTGATCAGGTTGAAATTCTAATAATTGATTATTTCTTTTGGTTGATTACAGATAAAGTATCGTTCTAATGCTCCTCTAGTTCTAAAGGGAATTACATGCACATTCAAAGAAGGCACTAGAGTAGGAGTTGTGGGAAGGACAGGAAGCGGAAAAACTACACTCATAAGCGCTTTGTTTCGCTTAGTAGAGCCGGCAAGTGGTAAAATTCTTATAGATGGACTTGACATATGTTCGATGGGCCTAAAAGATTTGAGAATGAAGCTAAGCATCATCCCCCAAGAACCAACTCTTTTCAGAGGTAGCATCCGAACCAACTTGGATCCTCTAGGTCTTTACTCTGATGATGAGATATGGAGGGTGAGCTAACTGACTCCGGTTAAATGATGAAAAAGGCTTTCCCTGCATAATTTTACTTTAGGCATTACATACAATGCGTTCTGTTTCGTACTAGTACGATTTTAAGGACATTTTCATCTGCAGGCTCTAGAGAAGTGCCAGCTCAAGGCGACAGTCAGCAACCTACCAAATCTACTTGACTCCTCTGGTGAGTTTATGATCTTTCCTATGACTGAATGAGAAACATAATGATGAACATCTTACTTAATCCCCGGTTCCAACTACAATCATATTGTACTGTAAATTATAACTATAATGACTTCAACAGTGAGTGATGAAGGGGAAAATTGGAGTGTCGGGCAACGCCAGCTCTTTTGCCTCGGAAGAGTCCTTCTCAAGAGGAACAGAATTTTAGTTCTCGATGAGGCTACTGCCTCCATTGATTCTTCAACAGATGCCATTCTGCAGAGAATCATAAGGCAGGAATTCGCAGAATGCACTGTTATAACTGTAGCTCACAGAGTTCCAACCGTCATAGACAGTGACATGGTCATGGTTCTCTCCTATGGTATGCTTTTCTTTCCAATCATCTCTTAATCGCATTTCAATATAATTTGAGACAGAAAAAATTCGAACACGTCTAATTCAATTAGAATTTTTAAAATTTTTGATAAACCAGTCTTACCAGGGGGATATGATGTTTTCTGTAATTGGTTATTAAATCCTAATGCTAACATGTAGTGTGATTTTGTTTGAAAAAATAGGGAAGTTGGTGGAGTATGAACAACCTTCAAAGCTGTTGGCTACCAACTCCTACTTCTCCAAGCTTGTTGCTGAATATTGGTCAAGCTGCAAGAAAAACTGATGCCACCAATTAAAATGTCAGCACCACAAATCACCTAGTTCGCAATATAAATTCCCTGCTCCTAGAAAATTAGTATTCATGGCTGAAATCATCGATGGAACGTAATGCTTATTGTGGAAGAAAAAATGCAGATGTAATTATCATTTGTAACTTACAAATCAACGTAATGCTGTTAAGATTGTCTTCGTGTTATGAGAAGCTTGAGATCACTATAAAAATGGAATAATAGACCTTCAAATCTTCATGTTGGAATAACACTCGTTGTAGAAACAGATGTTTTGCTCCTTTCCTTTCGTCCCTTATCTTTCTCCTTTTTGTTTTTTTTGTTTTTGGGTATATTCAAATTTCCAAGGCCATCCCTTTACTTCTACAGAATCAAATTGATGGTGGTTTCGTAGTGAAGTTGATGCTAAGGTTTGGAATGGATTGGTAATTAGATTTGCAGCAAAGTTTCTTGATGTCTAACATTTACAGGTTTAATACTAGTGGATAAAAAAACAAAACTGAATATAATACAAGCACTAGTGTTCAAACACTAATCAATTAATTGGTTTTTATGTCCTTAACTACTAGTTTTGTTTGAGTTCACTCCACAGTTTCATATTGGAGTAAAATTATGCAGAAATTATTGGTTAATGATCTACAAAATGAACTATTCAGATCATGGAGAACGAAATTATTTTGTAAAAAAGCCATAAAATTAGATGTTGCGCAAGAAAAAGAAGGTCAAGGTGCTTCTCCTAAAGTTTACTTGCCATATTATCATGCATAGTTTGACGTACCCTACTACTTTTAGGAGTTCCATTAGATGATATATCATATATGCTTTGAATATTTTAGACATTAAACGTAGTGTGTGACACTTTCTAATTAAAGAATACAAATCATTTCACTAGCTCATGACGTTTCTTAATAATTTTTGTCTATTAGAGCTAAAAGGCACATATAATTATTCAATCATTTGCAGGGAAACACAGTAGGTTAGAATTGAAAAAAAAAATATTGCTAGACAGTGGAATCATAGTGGAGGAATCAAATATTGTCTCTTTAAAGGAAAATGGATCCAAAATCTAGTGTGGATTAAAGAGTAAGCATTAGCTTTGAGCTGTCATTAGCTAGCCCTTAGTTGTGTGAAAGAGAAATTGAAATCCTTAGTTTATGTGAGGTGGGGCAGCTGAATGAGTTAATGAAGACTGTCAAATTTAGTCCAATTTATCTAATCATTGTGCTCTTAAAAGTGAGATATGGAGTGAATCTATTTCCCTTTTTAGGGAAATGGGAGCTTATTGGATTATTTTCTATTGGAAGTATTGGCGGTTGCCCTACCTACACGCTTGTATCCCTTAATTTAGGGTGATTTGATCTTGTTACTTGTAATTAGAGTTTTCCTATAATTAGGGATAACTTCATAGATGTTAAGGTTGTGATGTGTTGGCCAACGGGCACTTAGGCTGGCCAATGGTTCTTAACCTGGCCAGCGGTCATTAGCCTTCCCGTGTTTCATGTATATATACCTTTGTAATCTTGTAGAGAAATATAATGAGAAAAAAGCATTCTCTTCCATATTTTCCACATGGTATCAGAGTAGGAACCTTAACCGGCCTGTCTCTATTGTTGTCCCTTCTCTTCTTTTGCACATTTTTTTCTATAATGGCAGAAGATAATCTTTTTGGCTCTGAAGCTGAAAGCTTCACAGCTCCTTGCCCTAGTTTTCCAGAAGCTGAAGTCAACCCAAACCAACACTTGTGTTCTGTGTTGTTAAATGAGTTTAACTATTTTCCATGGTCTAGATCAATATCTCTTGCCCTTGGAGGAAGATCTAAACTTGGATTCGTCAATGGAAGTATTGAAGCACCTGACGTCTCATCGCCGGAGTATGAAGCATGGCTGTGCAAAGACCAGCTGGTCATGTCGTGGCTCCTCAACTTCATGGCTCCTCAACTCCATGGATCCTAAGCTGTTTGAAATTTTCAGTTTTTCAGAATCCTCCAGTTCTCTTTGGAAGGCAGTCAAAGACATGTATGGAAATCAAAACAATGTTGCTCGAGTGTTCCAGCTTAAGAGGAATCTTGCAAGTCTTCAACAAGGTGATAAATCCTTTGTTCATCATCTCGGTTGCATGAAAAATATGTGGAACGAACTAGATATGTATTAACCACACACTATCGATGCTGTCGTACTGTTAAAAAGGTCCGAAGAAGACAAAATCTTTCATTTGCTTGCAAGTTTGGGTTCGGAATATGAAGATCTTAGAAGCCATATTCTAATGAATCTCGAACTTCCATCATTTGTAAGTGTTTGCACTACTATCCAGCGAGAAGAAGTACGCAGAAAAGTCATGAATGTTGACGTAAAATCTAGTGTGTCTAAGGCTAGAGCTTTTGTGACAAATCACAAGTCATTTGGAGATAAAGTATACAGGGGGAAAAGGCCAGATCTAAAGTGTCTACACTGTAATAATGTTGGACATCTAATAGATCGATGCTGGATATTGCACCCTGAGTTGAAGCCAAGGTTTGAAAACAAGCCTTCAAGAGATCATAAGGGCTCACAAACTAGACCACATACAAACAAGTACCACGTTACTGCTACATCTATCGGTGGGTCGATGAACTTCACAGCCAATCCGGCTGACTTGCTGAATGAGTTCTCAACCTACCTTCAAACCAAAAAATGAAGCACAGGTGAAATATCGACTGGGGGAAGTCAAACTGCTCTCCTTGGACAGTTTGCAGGATTCTTAGCTGAGTCTGGTCATGTACCTCAAAGAAACATTCCAGGTATCATGTGTGCTCTTTCAACTGCTCTAAATGTTAGTCACTCTCATGATTTTTGGATTATAGACTCAGGTGCCACAGATCACATGACAAATCAATATTCAAAGCTATACGATTTTGAAAGCTACACTAAACCATCACTAGTTTCTATAGCAAATGGTAGAGGTGTGCCAATTCTAGGTAGAGGGAAAGTTAAACTGATCTCAGAAACTATTGAGTCCACAGCTTTATATGTTCCATCCTTTCCTTTTCAATTATTGTCCGTAGGAAGGATTACAAATTCTCTAAACTGTCGTGCAATTTTTCTCCCCCACAATGTTGTTTTTCAGGATCTAGCCACCAAGAAGCTGATTGGTGAAGCTCACTACCTAAATGGGTTGTACTATTTTTCAAATGACCTTAATGTTCCAAAGGGGTTCCAAGTCAGCTCAAACCTAGAACATCGGTTGTGGCACCAATGCCTAGCACATCCCTCAGAATTTGTGTTGTCTACGTTGTTCCCTAGTTTATGCAAATCCTCACTTGTATGTGAAATTTGTCATTTGTCAAAATTTACTAGACTCCCATTCAATTCTTCCATGTCTAGGACTAGCAAGCTTTTTGAGATGGTGCACTCCGAAGTTTGGGGACATGCACCTCTAGAGTCTTTTGATGGTTATAGGTACTACGTTACTTTTGTTGATGATTTCTCAAGAGCCACTTGGTTGTACCTCCTAAAATTCAAAAGTGAAGTCATGGATGCTTTCAAGAATTTTCACAATCTTGTCATGAACCATTTTTCGTCTCAAATTCACATACTAAGGTCTGATAATGGCACTGAATATACATCCAAAAATATGACTAACTATTTGAGCACACATGGAATTATACATCAAACAAGTTGTGTAGGTACTCCTCAGCAAAATGGAATTGCCGAAAGGAAGAATAGGGACCTACTTGAAAAAACTAGGGCTCTAATGTTGCAAATGAATGTGCTTAAGAGGTTTTGGTCTCAAGGAGTTCTTGCAGCCACCTACCTTATCAACAGACTGCCTAGTTGTGTTCTGGATACAAAATCACCATCTGAGGTTATGTAAAACAAAAAAATTAACCTTTCCCATCTGAGAATCTTTGGATGTACCTGTTATGTTCATATTCAATCCCATCACCGAGACAAGTTCGATCCCAAAGCAGTCAAGTGTGTTTTCATGGGATGCTCCTCCACCCAAAAAGGTTACAAATGCTATAATCAGTGCTTCAGGAAGATGTTTGTCTCAAGAGATGTACGATTTGATGAGAACCAACCGTATTTCAATAAATCATCTGATCAAAATCGTCAGGGGGAGCACTTCCTAGATCTCTTCCCATTACCAAATCCAGTCGAACCAAGTGACTGTGTCCATTCACTACCCCACAACCGTGACTCTCATGCAACCCGTAATGACAAGATGCTTATTAGAGATGACACTGAAGCCTCAAAAGCACAAGTAGTTCCTCATGACCATAACACAACATCTATACAAGAGAGTGGAGCTGAACCTATTGTGATCCCAGCTCAACCTCACAGGAATCCAACTCGAGATAGACATCCACCATCAAGGCTGCAAGACTATGAAACTTACAATGCAAGGTACCCTATTCACAAGTTTGTAAATTACTCCAAAGTCTCTCATTCTCATGCAGCCTTCCTCAGTAAACTGTCCTATGAAAGTGAACCAAGGAACTTTCAAGAAGCCAATCGTCAAGTTGTGTAGAGGCTAGCCATGGAAGAAGAACTCAAGGCCTTGAATGAAAATAAAACCTGGAGTGTAGTTCAACTTCCCAAAGGCAAGAAGGTGGTAGGCAATCGGTGGATCTATAAAATCAAGTTTAATTTTGATGGTTCAATTGAACGACACAAGGCAAGATTGGTGGCTCGCGGTTTTACCCAAACATTTGGAGTGGACTAAAGGAGACATTTGCTCCCGTGGCTAAGATGAGCACAGTGAGGGTTTTGTTATCTGTTGCAGTTGACCATGCATGGCCGTTGTACCAAATGGATGTAAAAAATGCCTTTTTACATAAAGACCTTGAAAAGGAAGTTTACATGCAATTACCCCCGGGTTATCCACAAGCACAGAATTCAGGTATAGCTTGCAAGCTTCATAAGTCAATCTATGGCTTGAAACAATCTCCTCATGCCTGATATGCCAAATTGAGCTCCGTACTTGAAAAATTTGGGTTCAAGAGAAGTCATGCTGATTCCTCCTTGTTTGTTCGAACAAGATCAGTTGGCAAATTAGTTGTACTAATCTATGTTGATGATATCATCATCACAGGTGATAACATTGATGAGATTCACACTCTTAAGCATTCTCTTCATCAACAATTTGCCATTAAAGACTTAAGAGTTTTAAAATACTTCCTTGGGATTGAACTGGCTACTTCCCCCAAGGGACTTTTTTTAAGTCAAAGGAAATATGTGATTGACTTACTTCAAGAAGTGAAGATGATGGATTGCAAACCAACCCGTACTCCTCTTGATAGCAA